GATTTTTATCATTGGGTCATCATCTTATTAATGGAGGATTTTGATGATTTTATTGATTTTTTAATTGACATGTACATATTTGTACATGGGTTGACGCCTCTTGGTGCCGATGATTGAATAATATGATACTTTTTATTTCAAAAAAGTACAGATGAAGGAAAGAAATATCCAAAGGGACATTATCAATCCAAGCATCCTCCTAAAAAAAGGAAGCAAGACTCGTTTTTTACCCTAATGGAGTTCCATCAATTTTAGGAAGACAGTTCCCTTCCATTCACAACAAAGTGATCTCTTGTAGTCTCTCTATAGTTTTGGGTTAACAAGCCTATGAATCAAGGAGGTTTGAGTGTGAGATCTTTAAGGGAAGTGAATGTGACTTTTTAGGGAAGTGACTTTGGAGATTCATGAAAGAAAATGGTAGCCTTTGATGAAGGATGATAGAGGTGAAATTTGGACCATGGATAAAGGTTGGTATACCATGTTCTCGACGACACTCCATGGGAAAGGGATGTGAAAAAAAAAATATGCATGTGCAAGAACAAATTCATGATTGTATCAGTTGAAGGGCGGGCATTAGGGACAAGATTAACTTTTAGCATGATGCCTGGTTGAAAGGGGGGTTACTGAGAGAACAGTTCACCCAAATCTATGCTATTGCACAACACAAGAATATTTCGATTCATGAGTCTTATGGTGACATTTGGGGGGAAGAGGAGTGGAACGTGGAAGTTATGAGAAATCTCAATGATTGAGAAGTTAGGGATTATGAGACCCTCCTCCAAAACTTTACTATTTTTAGAGTCAATGGAAATAATGATCAACCAATTTGGAAACTCAATGATAGAGGATCCTTCTAGATTAGGTCTTTTTACAACCATTTGATTAAAAGAGATGCCCTGGATATTAGCTTTTCTTGTCGATAAATTGGGTAGATTAATGCCCCACTTAGAGTTGCTTTCTTTGCTTGGAGGCAGGTCGGGGAGTGTATTCTTACTCTTGACAACTTGATCAAGAGGGAAGAATGTTGTTAAGTGGGTTTTTTTCATGCAAAAGGGAGGCGGAGTCATGTAATCATACTCTTCTATGGTGTCCGTTTGTATAGAAATTGTGACCTTACTTATTGACTTATGGATATCACTTGGGTGATGGATGTTTCAACGAGAGATGAAATCTGGGTGTAGAAGGGTAATAGTGTAGGGAAGAAACACATTAGCCTCATTCCCCTTACTACATTGTGGTGGTGTGTAGCTGATTGGTCATGGCTCAATCTATTAAGCTGATAGGACTCTACTTGTTCTATTATTTATATTCTAGTAATTCCCTTTATGCTAAAACCCACCTAGTTAAATTGTGGATAGCAGAAATCTCTTATACCTTTTTGAAATTTAAGTTTTAGCAGAAATCGGATAACCAAAATCCAAGATCTTTGACTTCGATGTCATACTAAATAATAATGTAACTAATTATCCCCAAAAAAGTAAGTTACTAGGAAATTATCCTGTCTATTATTTATATCCTAATAGTCTTAATCTTGGTTTTTTTTTTTTGGTCCACAACTCCTAAAATCTGTAGATCTTTCTTGAACTTGTAGTGGTCCTAGAGCAGTTTCTGTTGTGAATTCCTTATCAGAAAAGATAGGAGGGGCAAAGGTATTTGCTACAGCTGCTGTCCCTGATGATATTGGAAAAATTAAAGATGTTTTGCAAAGATGGAGTGACGTTGACAAGATGGATCTCATCCTTACCCTCGGTAAGGTTCTTACCTTCATCTAACCTGGCCATTATAGTGAGTGAATATAGATGCTTTGCTTTTTCTTTCTCTTGATTTCCCCTCATATTTTGAGATTTTTGTAAAATCAAGGCGGCACTGGCTTCACTCCAAGAGATGTAACACCTGAAGCAACAAAACAATTGATTGAGAAAGAAGCACCTGGTCTTCTCTTTGTTATGATGCAAGAGAGCTTAAAGGTATCATCAGTATCATCCATTTCCTTGTAATTTGATTGTTTAACTGTCACTGTTCTGATTGTTTGTCCTATGGTAAATGCTAGGCCAAATGGTCATGTAAAAGTAGCATGCTAAGTAATCGCCCTTAAGGTGTTTCTCCAAATAAACACCTGATGCCTGTTTTACTTCTAATATCTGAAAACAAATGCAGCTTTTATCTTTTTCTCTTTTTATGGGCTGAGAAGAAGGCATGAAGATCTAGAGTTGGAGGTTATAATGCGTCTGCCAGTTCTGCTTTATGCAGAACGAAAGAACCTGAGCACTAAATGAGTCTTCCACTTTTTTTTTCCCCCTGAAATTGTATGTTTTGTCAATTGTTCACAAATGCACCCATATACGCATGCTATTGCTCGCGGCCTAACCCATTAAGTCAGATGCATATGGGCCTGAAAATGCTTGTGTTTTGATACTTATTTATAGCTTCACGTCCTTCCTTTTGCTTCTAAAACCAGGTAACACCATTTGCTATGCTATCACGTGCTGCAGCGGGAATAAGAGGGATGACATTGGTAAGACTACTACGTTACTCTAACTTGGCATTCTTTTTTGTAAGTTAATAGTGAATATTTTGGTAAACATAAGATATTTCTCATTGTTATATGTTACGCGTATATATGTATCTTTTCAAAAGCAAGTATTAGTTAGTGAGATCATTGAAGTCCCGTGTCAGATGCGGTTGACATTATCTAAAGTTTTAAACAAGTGCAACATCTAACTCATCTGATTAATGGGTCAATTTGACAGAATTGGATGAAAATAGTAATTGATGGAGGTTTAGAACAGAAAATTTTGTTGGCTTCCTTTTTTTTTTTTTTTTTATAAAGAAAGAAAACAAAATCCGCTAATTACATTTTACTCTATATTTTGATTGTATTTTTCTTATCCAGATTATTAATATGCCTGGCAATCCAAACGCTGTCGCTGAGTGCATGGAGTCTTTGGTGCCTGCACTTAAGCATGCATTGAAGCAGATTAAAGGAGACAAGAGGGAGAAAAATCCGCGTCATGTCCCTCATGCACTAGCAGCAACTACCGACACATGGGAGCGCAGTTATAAATTGGCCACCGGCAGTCATAAGGAGACTGGTTGCTCGTGTTCTCATTAGACCGATTTCTCGAGGAAAAAAACACATGTTGTGAACTTCACCGGTTCTTGGAATCTCTCTCTCTCTCTCTCTCTCTCTCTCTCTCTCTTTCTTAAACAAATCTCTCCAAGCTGGTTTAAATTCACAATAACCACCAATAACTGTGCCGTAGTTACTCATTTTGCATTGAATAGATAATAATTCTCATATTAGATATAAGTTTAAAATACTTCTCATATTAGATGTAAATTTAGATGTAATACTTCTCAACTTTCACCTTAGAGAAAAAAACTTGAACTTCTATCATCAAGAAATTTAACTTTAGTGATGGTAAATAAGAAATAAGATTTTCTTTTTCTCTAAATATGCATAATAAAACCAATTATAAATATTAAATGCAAGAACTTATTAGCAATTATATGATAAATTAAACAGATGCAACCTTTAAAACTTCTTCTCTTTTAACAAGCAGCACCCTTTCTACAGCACCAAAAACTGCAGAAGTTTCTTTTACTTACAGTAGATCGGTTGCTTGTGTTAGAAAAACATAAGATAGAACAAGAAGAAGCATGTAACTAATGGAGAAAGAGTTAAATACTACAAATTAAAACTATTAAGTTAAAATAATCTCTTCTAGTTTGATAATCACAAGGTCTCTACAATCTGACCTTTTTCCCTTTCACTTTGTTAAATGTTTATCAGAGTTTTATGTACAAGTTACAATTCTGGGAGGCAGCGAGAAGATGATATAAAAAAAAAAAGCATACCACAGGGACCTCTCGAAGCATGCAAAAAACTCCGGCAAGAAAAAGAAAAAAAAAAAAAGGAACAAAACAAAAACAGACTTTTCCGAGGAAAATGGCTTCGAAATAAGAAACCAAAACAGAATCCCAGCAGCCCTTCGCAACGGTGTAAATAGTAATCCTCTTCCCTCCCATTTAGCAATGTACAAATCCACAATTTTCTCTTGGAACTGAAGCCAAACAGAAGCTGGATGATTGTGTTCATAACGACGTCCAAAATTGAGCTATTGTTTTGATCCTGCCGGGGAAAACTTGTCAACGGCTGCTTGCTGTCGTACTACGCTCCTTTGCACGGAAATCATCCAAGCTACGGTATTCTTCCCTAAGCAACCTTTCCAATTCCAGATGTTTCTTTACGGGTTCTTTCTGGTCCCGCAGTGACCGATAATGGTGAAATGCCCTGCGAAACAATACACCAAAGTGTCTAACTTCCAGAAAATAATATGAGATTTGAAACTCTCTAGTTGAGTTTAAAGAATAATAGGAAAGAAAACTAACACAAAAAAAAAAACGATAATTCAAATAAATAACATTTAATTCCAAGTCAATCTTGCATTTAATTTAAGTGTCTTTGTGGTTCCTCTGACAATCCATCATTTCAAATTTGAAGCTATGAGGAGATGATTCGATTACGCATTCTATACGTAAACCATAACTAAATTTTTACAATAGAATAATTAAGGTCCATGAAATGAATGAGAACAACAGAAAGCTATAGACACTTGGATTAGCATCTTCAAACTTGGGTTACAGCTATAGACACTGAACTTCCAAGTAATAGCCCCACTCTAACCAAAATCAAATTATTCCAGTCATAAAGACAGCTAAATCTATTAACTAACCAAGAGAAAGAGAAAAGGTAAAATGGGGAGAAAAAAGACACATAGTTTGAGAAGAGGAAACTGTGGTATAAAGTATGGACGTTACAGTTGCGTGAAAAAACATCTTATTATTTAGCCACGATGGTATAATCTGGGCAATGCAATTGAATTCCCCTGTACTAACACCCAGGAAAATATCTGAAAAAGAGTGGCCTTTGCACCCTCACTACGATACCACTTTCAGTGCCCTCTTGCAGTCCTAGTAACACCATCAAGTTATTATTTTTATGAAAAAAGGTGTAACTTTTTCGTTACCTACAGAAGTATTATTTTATTCTATCCTAGTTTCATGATCTTATAATAAAAGATAACTCTATCATTTCTGAGAGTAAGTTTTACGCTTAACTAATGTTTTACTTCTAAGTTATTATCATTTTAAACAAAATTTTAATTCTAAGTTTTATTATTCAACTCTTTTGATGATTCTACACCAAAAAGCATATCCAGCACAATACTAAAAGCACCTTCTACCAAAGGTACTTTAATCTATTGTAAAAAGGTATACTCTACTAAATTAGTAGGAACCATACACCACCATGTTCAGCCCATAAGAACCAGTAATTGGTTACTGCTTAGCCAAATAAACATAAAATGTCATAGTTCAAGGAAATATATCTTTCAATCTCAAAACAAGAAAAGGAAAGACATTTGGATTTTTCTTTTTTTTTTTTTCTTTCAAAAGAAATGATCTTTAGATTAAGTGATGAGGTAGTTACCAATACTTTTCAAGGCCATAAAGATTGCCTTTATTGTAGAAGTCAAGAGTGAGCTGCTCAAAATCCTTATAAAGATCTTCTTGATATTCCTTCTCCAAACCATAACTGAAATGGGAAAACAATCTTATGTAGGTGCAGGAGAAGAGAAGTCCATGTGACCGTGCATACTTCTACTAACTAAAGACTAAAATATAAAGAGCACAATATAATAAATTTAAGGTGGCTCCAAAAATAATGAGCCAGTAAATTAATAAAAAAAATTATTAGTAAATCACCTGTAAAACCTGAAAAGGCATTCTATCCCATAGTTGTAATTAGCAGAAGCATCCTCGAGTGCAAATTTCCGAAACTCATTATACATAGAAGGGACAAATATATCTCTAAGGAAATATGACCAGAACCTGTAGAGAGTGTTCATTTCCTGCATGTAGAAGTAATCAAGGCATATATTAATTTTGACAGAAGCGTTCACACATATATACCAAGAGATAACATGCGTGCAAGAACACAGTGAAAAAATCTCCTTACAAAACCATTCAACGGATAACTAGATCCTTAAACCGAGGTACTTAAATTTTACAGTTTACGTCACTGATTTTGGATCATAATTCATATGCATGGATTACTTGCTTATTATCATAAATGATGGGAGGAAAGGAGAACAAAAAAGAAAATAGTCTGTGTTAGTTACCGTCAGCACCAGTGAGAATGGCCAGGAAAGAAATATACAACCAAAATTAAAATTTGTAGATGAGATTTCTTATCTTTTGAAATACAGTAAAGAAATTTAGAAAGAGAGTTTGGAGAAGAGGTCACCTCACTGCAACCAATTCCCAGCTTCTTCCTCTCACTAAGGCACCGCTTATGAAACTTCAAGTACCTGAAAGAAAAACCAAGATGATAAAGATATCAGTTGAGAAAGAGAGCGAGCTTGTGTAAGTTGGGGATAGAGACATTGAAAAACCAGATAAAATTCTAGTTACCCAGAAATAGATGAAAAGTTTCTCCTGAGTAGATCCATTCTTTTGTTTTTGGATATGAGAGAGTAGATCCATTATGCATATCAAAATGTTCAACGAGACCATATGGTACTTATATCCTACTAATTTCATCTCCTATTAATAATAGGGAATCAGAATAATATAACTTCAAAGACTCCTAACAGCAAAAGTAAAGCAAAACTTAACCAAATAAAGTTGAAAAACTCCTAAATGACAGGACTATTATAATCTAAACTGTTTTTTTGCCTCTTTGCTCCTGCATCATTCTCCTGGGGTTGTGAGCAACCAATCCTCAACTTCAACTTTTTTGGCCACGATCAATCAAATTAGAAATATTTCTCTCCATCCTTTTTTTTTGCTAAAATGACCGCTAATGGACTATATAAGAAGCTCAATATTTGAGTTCTGGAGCCGACGTTCAAGTGAATGAGCATCTTGATTGCAATCAAATCTTCCTCAATCAAATCTTCTCTTCTCTACCACAAACTTGCCCAGCTTATTAAAGACTTCCATCAAATACTTGACAAACCTCATCTTTCTCAACCATTTGGCAACCAAATGATATTGTATCTTATTACTAGGACAAGCAGCATAGGTTGGTGGAAAGCTCAAATGTAGAAACCATCATCCTCATAAACTCCTTTCAGCAAGTTCAAGGGTTTGTGGTGACCTACATGTCCAAGTGCCTGCACAATCTCTACGTAAGTTTTGCATTAGTTGCGAAAGTTGCTCCATCAATACATCTCTTGACCTTTTGACTCAACCTGGTAACTCTACTTAAAAGAGAGGTCTTTTTACCAGTCCTTGGAATGAATAGTACCTCTTCTAGATGCCATAGCAATTATAAATTCTTCGCCTCTAACACCAAATTGATGTGCATGAGAATGAAGGTAAATTTAGGTATTTGACTTTTGGGATAAAAATGTCTGAAGACTGAATAAGTTTCCCTTAGCCAGAACTAAGAAAAATCTTTCTCTTATATTCCATATATTAAAAGCTGAAGTTCTGAAAGACTACAAAGATATTTAAGCTTACTAACTCTACCGCTACTAATACAATAAAACTAAAATAAGATAAATTCAAATCCTCTCTCTATATATCTCACAGACACATGTACATGTGCCCGTATTGTAGACAAAAAATTTCAGAACCAACTTACTTCTGTTGTTTAAACCCATTTTCTTCCAACAGTTGGTGACTTGGATGCTGAAATGGTGGAAATGACTTTGGCAGTGAGCCCACGGGTGGACTACTTCCAGAGAGAGAACCATGTGGTGAGACACTCAACTTCGAAAGCCTAGGACTGTGGAATTGAAAGTTGAACTTATGTTAAATCAATGAAAATCTCAATCAAACAAATTTGCATACTCTAAAACATCCAGGAAAAAATGCTATAACATGCTAGCCAAAAGTACAAAGCTGAACAAATAAATCCACGATGTTATTAGAACAAGTGACAATCACTTTGAACTGACCCATGATTTTCTGGGGGAGTGGAACTAAAGAAAAATCCAACTGAATTACTAGGTGGACTTTCTGACACAGGTCCATGAGAGTTCCGATTGCTTCCCTGATTCCTGAAGTTGCTGGAGAAAAATCGCTGCTTATGAGAGAACTGTTGTTTGGAGAAGCCTTTATTTTGCTTCCTTCTGATGTTAGAAGTTCCAGACTCTTCAGGAACATTTACCCCTCCAGAATTTTCACCTCCTTTAGAATTTGATATTCCTGAAACACTGGTAGAAGACCTTGAGTTTCCATCTCCATTCTCAAGATTAGAGTTATTCCTTCTTCGGTTGGACCGTTTAGTTTTCAGCTCCTGTCCATCATCAAAAAAATTTTAAATGATGCTCCTAGAACCACCAAAAGGAAAAGAAAGTGGAAAAGAGCAAAATCATTATGTTGAAGGTAAAGGAGAAAAATGTCTCTCAACCTGTTCATAGAAGTAAAGACCATCATTGATTGCAGAAGCAAGCTCCCTGGAAATTGATTTTGCATCCACGCCACCAGCTCTATTTCCTTCACTTATCTCACTATTCTGCATAGCACAGAAAGAACCATGAGTTACAAAAAAAAAAAAGAATTAAATTGTCTCTTGAATATGAGAAAATCACAATCTCCTGTGTATAATCATTCATCTCCACAAGCACACACATATAGATACATAGAACTGTTTGCAAGCGCATGCATAAGCACACATAAAAATGGCAAACCAAAGAGAAAATGAATAACAAAAGACAGGCAATCTCAAATGATCTCGAATTTGTGAAATTACAAAATCTCGTAACATAGAGAGATTGCTAGACAGTTATTTAAGAAGTGCAAAGATTCTTTCATTCTGCAACATGACAACGGACTGACCAACACCTATAAATCCTTACAGAGTATAGGTATAGCATTACCAGAAAAGAAGACTTGAATAGATTAAGAGCATCCTTAAGTGCCTAGGCATGGCAAAATTAGTACCACAAGAAACCAAAATGCAGATATTCAAACTCCTTACATTCTTCCACTAGAAAATTCAATTGAAAATATTATAGTTCTGTTCCGTGTATCAATATAGAAAATCAGTATCATGAAATAAAAATCAGCCAGTATAAATTTTGACTGAAAAACAAGACAAGCTTTATATAAAATTAGAGCTCAACCAAAATCCACTATCTGCCCTTCTGACGAGCTTCTAGCAAAGTCATAGAGAACAGCTCAAATAAGCTCAACCCATACTTTTCCTAAATCACATCCGTGTTTTCCATTGTCACAATTTTCATATCAAGTTAGTTCATTTTTGTAGGAAGGTAGCACATCCTAGTTTCATCTTGTGCACGAGAATAATTAAACTATATTAATCTGAAGGCAGAAAGCAAAAAAGATAATAACAAAGTAAGCCTCGACAGACAATGAAATGCGAGAACATTTGCAGAACACTTCGACAGCATCTAGGTGCATGTCTCCTGCACTCTTTTCTCCAAAGTCATAAAAAAATTCATGATTGACCTGTTTTACATAATTTTTTATTCTAGTTCACGGAAATGAAGCAGATATGGGAACCTTGCATGTAAATACCATTAATAGGCACTAGTGTGAATTGGAGAAGTAGAGCAGATATCCAAGAAGTACAGAAATGGGTACATGCATTATAAATCACAAGTATGATGATGAGGAAAGGTATACCTGGTCCAACACCTTTGCCATTCTTATCCAGATTCCCCTTTAGATCGTACTTCTATCCCAAGTTTTCTTACTCAGTTCTCATCTTTATTCTCTCTTTATAAATTATCCAACAATTCCTAGAACGTACTTGGAATCCTTAAGGATTCCAAATTTTCCTCCAAATTGTCCCTACTTTAACCACATTATGCTTGTGGAAAGTACCAGTACTATGGATGATTACTACTTATTAAAAAAGACACCTCTGGAAAAATATCCTGATATTAACTCTCGTTTCTAAATTGCTTGTCATGCTAAGGTGGGGGAAATATGCAACAATTAAGACCCACCATCTAAGGTAATATGATGGAATCATGAAAAAAAATTTGACTTTCACAAAGGTCAGGGAATCCCTATGAAACTTACTGCCGCATGCTGTACCTGGGTGACAATTACAAGCCTCTGAACATCTTGATCATTGACAGCCATCTCATCATCTTCATCATCCATCCTGAGACAAATATCATTCAAAATATATTTAGCACGTGTTGACATGATTTACATAAAAAGAAGAATATGGTGACCACAATATCTGCATTACACTAAAGTTTAACATTACTTCACATCATCCACCTCTAGCAAAGCTAAAGCAGAAACAGATAACATATAGAATTTAAGCCAAAAGGAAAACGTCTACATTAGGTTTCTATTTTCATTATACATGTGCGGGGTTGGGGAGAAGTGGAGCACAAGGTGATCCATATTCTGACTCCACATCATGTCTCCAAATGTCTAACCTTGCTGAGAACTATAAGCATAGTCCAGCAAATGTGTGCTTTTAGATCTTAGAATAAACATCAGCTGAGAAGTTATTGATAAAAAAGGTGACATGAACCTACAATTTTTTTTTGAATGTAACAAGATGAAGCTACAATTGAAGACACAAAGATTTTTAAACAAAAGAGAATAGATGAATCCCATGACTGGAAGATACAAAATTAAAAGAAGCAAATGGGAACCTGAGCTAAAGAACAAAGGCCGTTTAAGTTCCCAACACAATTCAATACCCTTCGAACAGGAGTAGCTAGAAACAAACCTGATGAATAGATCATTGCACACACATATACTCTGCAAAATCTTCCCGTCAACAAATCAACGGGAATCATATGCATTCCAAAACCCATGCAGATTATAGCTGGGCTGTGTTTCAGTCTGCATATTCAAATTAGCATATAGGAGTCCACGACTCTACAAGTTCTGATCAAATAATTGCGTCCAAATCTATATGAAGGCGGCTAAGTGTATACCTTCAAGAAACGCAAAAGACATATTTAAAAATTCACATATAGAAGACAACATAGAATGTGCTCCTAGATTTGCTTCCTTCTCCAATCATAAGTTCATTTGTTCGAGTGAACTATGACTTCTTCAGCTGTTTAAGGCAGAATGAATAGTATGTGCAGTTGTATAATTATCAAAAGAGATTCTTAGAGAGGGATTGTTCTGTAGTTTTTATATTGCAAGTAGAAATAATTTAATATATATAAATGAATTATGACAAAAAGATGTTAATGTAAATTAAAATAAATTGATGATATGTAGATTATTAGAAACACATAATTAGTATTTAATTTAGAAGTATGAATTACTAAAAAGAAAGGGCACATATGTTAAAAGTCATGGGTTACAAGTATCATTTAACGACAAAGCAAACAAACGGATAAAAGATTTAAGCAAACAGAAAATAAAACATCTTACCTCTTTGCAGTTATATAAGTATTTAACTTGGTTTCCCTCTGACCAAGCCAAACAAAAAAGCAGAAATAAAATGTCAAGAATATGAAAAGTATATGGTACCTTCTAACTGTGGAAAGATCATCTTTCCTTGATGTTCTTTGCTCAAGCTCTAATTCTTCGTCAAGCATAAATGTGTTTGCAAAATCAGTTGACAGGTTACCAACATTCGCTTGGATCATATCTGGTAACACTTCCAGCCTTTCGGTTCCATTGTCACTGGATTTTGATGGCTCACTTTCTTGTGAGCGGTCAACAGGGGACGCAATATAATTGGTGCCAAGATCCAAAAATTGGACAGCTGATTCACAAATCAGTTTCCCACTTGAGATATTGTTTTCATCACCAGTGACTTGACTTTTATCAACAACTAGAACACAGTCGCTGTCATCTTCTGCACAAGGTGATATTTCTGAAGTTTTCTGGTTGCACGATATGTGCTCCTGCAAATTTTCAGTCTCCCTTGTGTTGTCTAAAATGGGATTATTGGTCCTGAAAGAATCAGCAACATTCCCTCCAAGTTTGTCCTTGGTCTCAGTTTTTGACAATGAAGTATCCTCTGCAGAACGAGGAATCCATCTGGGCCACTCATTACGTCTACGGATCTTGTTACCCTATAGAAATAAAACCAGCTCCTAGTAAAGAACAGCAAATTATAACAGAGAATGAGGCCATAAAATTATTCATCACTGTGGAAACCGTTTATTCGTTTGTCTTCATGCTGCAAATTTGTTTACCGAACCCTCAAAAGTCCATTGAATCAACATAACAGTTCACGTAATGTTCTGTTCCACTTTCATGAAATTCCATTGCTATTACTGTCACTAGTTCATCTATAATGCAGCTCCAGTGAATAACATTAAAACGTACAGCACCAATAAAAATTCATTCGTTTACAGAATATCTTAAAGAACCCATTTTATGAAGTGATATATCTTGTCACCAAAACATTCTGGTACTAGGAAAAATAAAGTTTTCAAGAAAAAGACATATCGTCAGTAAAAGCTTGTTGCTAAAGAAAAATCAAGTCTTTGATAATCTTAATAAAACAATTTTAAAATTTTTCAACAGCCAAAAACTCTGTAAGAGTGTGTGTCTAGGAGACAGAAATAAATACAAATGAAATACGACTTCCAGGGAGGACATTCACGAACAAATGGCTCTAACCTTCTAGCCATGACAACACAGCAATTCATCAATTAAATCCAAAATACTATTACACACACGAAAAACTTAAAAGTACGTATTACAAAAATAAAAACAGAGAAAGTGCAAGCAAACCTAACCTGCACTTCTACAGAGCTTGAACTTTGCAGTGCATCAAGGATAAATGGAATGTCTGTACTCATTCTTTTAACCTGTTAATCATAATATTAATAATTAAATAAGCAAACATGAGTAAGTTTCTCGCTTTTTTTCTTCTTCACAGAAATACCTCTTATGCTCTTTAAGCTACTTCTCCAAAAAAAAAAAAGGAAAAGAAAAGAAAAAAAGCTCTCAAGCTACTTCAGAAATTTACTGATAGCAAATTGCGGTAGAGGAAAATGATCTACATCACTCTGTAATAAGAAATGTTCATTGAAATATACCCTTTTAAAGTCTGCAATGGTGGATATTGGAACCCATCCTTGGTTGTCCATCAAGGAAATCAGATAATGATCATTCTGAAGATTTTCATCACTGACAAAAAGAGCTTATAACATCAGTGATACAACAAAAGATATCATTATGAGTGATCCCAGAAACATTATGTCAAATTATACTAAACAAATGCCCACAGAATTAACAATTGAAAAAAAAAAAACATTTCAACAAATAAATATATCATTTTCCCAATATCTCACCAACAAATTCTCAAGTCCTTAGATGTAAAAGTCTGCTATCCTCCCCAGACAATACTGTAAAACTTCATCATAGCACACCTTTAAACTCAAAAATCCAATTGAAACTACAATGCAAAACAATGGAGCTAAACAATCTTCCTTATACTAGTTTAAAAAATTTGAGAAGGATTATTAGATGGAGGCTTGTAGCTGTGGGATTATTAAAGCAATTATAAATTTTGTTGGTATTATTTTATTCTATTTCTATTTTGAGATATCTATGGCTAACTTTAGTCTCCACAGGGCAACTTTTTCCTTTAAGAATGCTCCTGGATCAAGTTTGCTAACTGCTTAAAAAAATGATCCTATCCGGTTTGGTCAAAAAAATAAAAAGTTTGCTAACTGCTTCAAAATCGATCCTATGGATTTGCAAATGGATGGATGGGAGACTAAGAACTGTTGATACATGACATTAGTGTGGTATACAGTATTCCTATCTTATTTGAGGCACTCCTTGTTCTCTACAGTCCTGGCAAAACAATATCCAAACAAGGGGAAGGCTGAGTTTTTCCCTATTACCTTTTCATTTCTCACCTTCCAACACCAGACGTTCCCTCCATATTCTGTCATCTATTTTCCATCCAAACTCCCAAAAATAAAATTGTAAAAGATTTCTACTTTACTCAGTGACCTAAAAGACAAAGTGGCCATTTAATGTCCATGGAACATTTCGAAGCATCATAAATTAGCATTTCTTGTACATCAATGACAATGCAACATGAACATATACCAGTAAAAGTTCATTTAAAAACAAAGAGCTGAGGTACAAGAAGAAATGTCAATGCTACAACGGCATAGCGATGTGGGATTTGTTGAAAGAAGAAATCGCCAAAATAGAAAAAAAATTCTTAAATGATCAAAAGAAATATAAAACTTGCCTGAAATAATACTCAATCTGTTTAACTATATTAGCTTTCAAAGCTAGTGTTTCTGGGCCGACCACTGGAGCTCCTACATTTATTTGATATGGAACAAAACGTGGAGGGTGTGGTCCCCTAATAGCACCTGGAGGTGGAACAGGCATAAAGCAAACAGGTCCTGCATAGCAGTAGTAAAACGTCAGTTGAACTCTTACACCTAAGAAGAAAACAAGAATGCTCATTGCACAAAGTAGTGTGCTTCGGTGCATGAACTACCTTGATTCCAAAAAAGCACTTTCAAATTCAAAGGGAAAAGGAACTTAGACAATTATTAGCAGAGCAGAAGAACAAATATTTGAAAGAAGGTATCTCTAAACCAGAATCAAATTATTACCAGGAAAGCTTGGACCAACCATGAACCCTGGAGCTGGACCCAAAAAAGGCGGCCTTACGTAAAGCCTTGGTCCAATACCCTGTTGCATGTTAATAGCGTCTCTATGGCCAAAGGCCCGCTGATGATGCCAAGGATGATTAAATTGGCCACCGGGTTCTTGTACATTAGCCTTCTATTAGAAAATTGACGGCATATGCATTGGGATCTCCTCGAGGACCTAGCTGAACTGGGCGAACAAGTGATTGCACCTGTTTCTCACTTCCAGGCTTTACTAATGGAGCTTCAACATTCGGAAAGGGCCCAGGGAAAGATGGGTAAGCATATCCAGTAACCGCAATTTGTGGTGGAGGTACCATGGCATGAAATACAGGTGGTAATGGTGGTTGATGATAAGGTAAGGGTACTGGAAAATGGGGTACAGCATTTGGGTTGCGTTTAGAGCCTGGTTTTTGATGACGTGTTGGCGGATGTTTATGTGAAGAATTGGTGTTTCCAGCCCCATGTGACTTCTGCTGTCCAACCACTTCCTGGAAGACCTCAAAAGGGAAGAAAATATAGTTAATACTGAATTAAGCCACAGTAAGAAATATTTTTATTATTTGAAGAAAAATAACACGGAAGTTTTCATAAAACATGATGCGAAATCGGGTAGGCACAACATTTAAACCTCCTTATCAACCCATCCCACTCCCCCATTATAATATACACAACCAAGATACAATCGGCAACTTATCCAGAAATTGCTCCTATAATTTCAAAAACACAAGTAAAAAAAAAAAAAGCAAATAAGATAGCAGAAGCATGTAATGTATAAATGATTAATATGTCTTTTTCATTGGAAAGAAAAACAATAGAATCGTAGATGTCTTAAATCTCAATAAAACTGATCATCAAAGAAAAAAAAAAGAGAATACATTTTCATGCTCATAAATTAACTCAACTTAACTAAAAGTAAGGTAATTCAAGTAGAACAAACACATACATAACATACAATCTAATTCAAAATTCAAACATGCATACGTGCACAACACCCATGCAAGAAGAGAGCACATATCCGACTACCTACCAGTCAGACATCCGTTGTAGCAACTTACCTAGACTCAGTCACAAGATGCAATTTGATGATAATCTAATGGATGGCTTTTTCTATGGGTCGTGCACCAGAACACGTGTCCGATTTTTGAGAAGCACAAATGTAAATATGCACTCTGAAGTTCCGTGTTAAAACGACAAACTACTTTGGTCAATCGGATTTTTTAGAAACTAAAATTACCAAAGATTCAAATGGTTCATGTTTGCAAAGTGATTAAACGGCCTATTAGAAACGTCAAAATAACATATAAGCTTCCTTTTATTACTGAACTTGCAATCTTCATGCACCAAAAATGTTTGTATCACTGTTTGCGACAATATATGCATGTGTGTGTATCTATCCACCTGATCAAATCCATATACCGTTTGCATATGAATTCCAAACCAAAAAAATAAACTTCTAGGAAAATTATGTCTAAGGAATTCCACCTTTTCCATTAAACAACCAGCTTCTGAACATTTAATTAAGATCTACCTACAAATTAGCCCTTACTCCTAGAAGAGAAACATCAATTGAGAAGATAAAAAAAAAGTTCACACAGCAACCAAAAAAAAGAGCAATCCCGAATAACTTATATAATTAACCTGAACGATTGGCGGATCTGAAGCCGGATTCTGAGCAACCCCATCAACACCGGGGGGATTTCTAGGTCGTTGTTGCGCGTCAGCCAACGCAGGCCAAGCCTCTCCGCCCATTAGCGGAGCGTCAGTGCTTTTCCCATCTAGCATGGGAGTTTTCCATGGGGACTTACGCCCACTCAACTCCCTCTGATCATCCCCTATCTCATTCTCCGCCATCACCATACTCCCGCAGATCTCTCCAAATGCAGAAAAACCCTGCTAAATTACCAGTAAACTACAAAAAAAAAACGAGTTGCAATCCCTTCTTTTATGAATTTCACCAATGCAGTGAATGATCAGGAATCCCGACCTAGTTACCGATACCCGTAATTAACGAAGAAATCAGAGAAATTATTAATAAAATTATAACTACAAGATCACAACAAAAGGCTTAGGCCATGGATTGCCGACTCATTCAGTGAGCACCGCAGATTAGAAAACAACAAGAACAAGAAAGCGTTTGTTTGTTTCGTGAGAAAAAATTGACAGTTCCAGACGCCAACAGTGAACGAAACTGTTGAAAAGGCGCAGCTGCTGCAGCACGAACAAGAAGCGCGGGGGAGTGTGTGTTTGTGTTGTTGTCTCCTTTATGTATGAGAGAGAAAGAGGAGAGAAGAGAGAGAGAGAGAGAGAGAGAGAGAGAGTTAGGGAAGATGGAGAGTAGGGCTTTTGATATCCTTTTTACTATTTCCACTCCTATACGAATAAGCTCGTTATTGCCATGCCCTGGCGTGGAGATAGTAATTTTGTTTTATTCCCGGGCGTGGATATAACAATGTTCGCGGTGGAATAGGAGTGGAAAAACCTTTTTTTCTTTTTCTTTTTTCCTCTCTCTCTCTCTCTTTCAAGAAGTAGACTTGCCAATAAAAACCCTAGTACAAGGCTGCTAATTTTTTATTTCATTTTTTTAAATTAAAGTAAAAAATAATTTAAATATTATATTTAATATTTTTCTAATTATTTTGTAGGTATAAAAGAAAAAAAAAAAGAAGAATTTAAAGTAATTTTCTATATTAGGATAAAATTTGGAAAATTTTTAATTGGTAAAAATTAAAAGATATTGTTTTATAAGACAATCACGGGTTAAATAA